CTTGTCCCTGTTGAATTTCATCCTATTTTTTCCAGTCCATTTCTCCAATTTGTCAAGATCATTTTGAATTCTAATCCCGTCCTCCAAGATACTTGTAGTCCCTCCCAGCTTCGTGTCATCTGCAAATTTAATAAGCACTTTCTCTATTCCATCATCCAGGTCCTTAATGAAAACATTGAGCAAACCAGAACCAGGGCAAGCCCTTTGCTATCTGAGCAGCCCAACACATGCTGTGCTCACCATGCTCTGCCCAAATGGGATGGTAAAGGTACCAGAGCTTTGCCATGCTGGCTGTGCCCCACTGCACCCCCAGCTCACTGGGGACCTCCCTGCTTTGCTGCCCCGGAGCAGTGCTGGCACCATGGTGTGTTGCCAGTATCAGAGGCACTGGGATGAGCTGGAGGGGACAGAGTTCATCTCCAGGATGGCTCCAGCTTGAGCTGCCACTGACTGGCACAGTGCAAAGGCCTGGGAGCAGCTCCCAAATGGTCAGTGTGGGCACAGGGGCAGCACAGCAGCCCCTGATGGGACCATCCTCCCCCCTCACAACTGCCCACCTCCTCCTCCACCAGCTGAGCTCTGCCCAGCCACATTATCTCCCCATTCTGAGGCTGCTCCTTTTGGGCTGGGGCTGCTCCTGGGATCTGGAACCAGCCCCAGCCTGGAGCCCATCTCGTGTGCCACCTCTGGCTACAGCCATCTCTTTTCTTTAATTGATTGTAGAAAGCAATTTACAAAATACAAACTTCTGCTGGTGCCAAGCCCTGCGTGTCCAGGCAAAGCCTAATTTCACAGTAAAATTTCAAGCGCAATGAATGGCTTTTCCCAGCACCAGTCCATGTCCAAGCCAAGAGCTTTGCAGTCTGCATAAGCTGTGCAGAGCAGCCCAGAAATGGCTTTGCACTGCCCTGTGGAGCATGCAGCTCCCTGGGCTGGCTGTCACAATAGCCAGGGCAGCTCTGCCAGCTCTCCCTTTTGGGCTGGTGCTGCCTGCCTCGGCACGGTGTGGGACCACCATGGCTGCAGCCCAGTCTGCAAAGAGCCACGAGCCCCAGCTCTCTGTGCAGCCAGCTGGATGATCCAGGGATGCTGCCATCAGGAAGGTGTCCCAGCAGGGCTGGCCAGAGCTGCAATGAGGGGGGCTCAGCTGAGAGATGGTGCTCCCAGGCTCTGGCTCTTTTCATGTCAAAGTCATTATTTCATGGTCAGGGTCTAGGAGGTTTGTACACACAGATGCATTAATTCTGCATTTAGTGATACAGGAATAATTGGTGTCACATCAATTAGATCGGTTCTTGGATACTGCAGTGATAAGTGCTCTGCAAAGGCCTCTGGGCTGCAGGATGTGAGGAATTCCAGCAGTGAGTGAGCCTGGTGGGGCTGGCCGCAGCAGGCAGAGCGGGGCTGGCAGGGACAGTGGGTGCTGAGGGAGTGGTGGAGTGTCCAGCACTTTTGGCCTTTGCAGGAGACCAATAAGGCTCTCACAGTGCTCAGTGCCTGGGGCTGCTGGGGGCTGCTGCACAGCCTGGGGGTGCAGGCCTGTGCTTAGGGAGGGGCTGGAAACTTGGCAAACCTCTGAGCCCAATGTCCCAGCCCCACCAAAGTGATCCTCGTGTCAAGGATCTTGTGTCAACACTTGCTCGGCACCTGGTTCAGCATCATCACCTGCATCCCCCATCCCCGTGCCATGGCTGTGCACACATGCTGGGTTTGCCAGCTTGCTGCTGACAGGACGAGGCTCAGGTGGGTCTGGGGCAGCGTGGAGACCCCCTGTGCTCACACTCCCACACTACAGATCGCTGCTGTCAGCCCCATCCCTGCTGTGAACCGTAGGCGGAGTAATTTGCAGATGACAAATATCCCTGACAGTAAATATTTTTCCCACCCTCATCCTTCTACAAGCAGATAAGGTGGCAGCACTGTAGCAATACGGTTGCTGGAGGGAGACAAACTCTTTGGCAGACTTAAAAGTCTATTGTGTCCCCGCAATTATTTATAGATAAAGAGAAGAAAGCCAATGAGCAGAGAATGGAGCTGCACAACTGCATTTGTTATGATGATGATGATGTTATCTCTCCCTCACACCCACACCCGCACATCTCCAGTGCATGGAAACTCGCTGCTGGCAACAATCAAATCCCCAACCAGGACAAGGCAGGACAGACTGGAGGCTTTCTCCTCTCATCACTGACAGTGCCCAGCCTGTGCTCCCCACCAGCTGAACCCACCACACAATTCCCGTGGCTCCTCTGGAATAGCACCCTCGGAGGGGTCCCTCTGACTGCAGGATCTGGAGACCAGGTGGTTCTTGTCCCTGTACACCAGCCCCTTGAGGGTGCCTTGTGGTGAGGGGGATGTGGGGTTGTCTGCAGGGAGGATGGGGCTGGCTGGGTCCTCACCAGCTCATGCAGCAGGACCCCAGAATGAGGGGGCTCCCCACTGATGTCAGGGTGCAGGGGGGCTCTGTCAGCTTGCCCAGCTCTGCATGACCAGCACCTCCCCTGCCATCCCACACCACTACTGAGAACAGAAATGTGGGTGTTTGGAGGGATCTGGGATTAAAAGATGTGGCAGGCAAGAGTGATGGGGGTCACTGCCAATGAGTGCATTTCTGCAACTAGTGGAGCAGAGACACCCTGAGTGAGAAACATTGACTGCAGCGTGGGAAGAGGCTGGGGAGCACTGTGCTCTGCCTTTTCAGTGAGCACTGCAGGAGACCAGGAGCCTGGCAGGGCTGGACCCACAGATGGGAAGAACAAGGAAGTTGAGAGGTGAAGACCTGGAGTGCCACTGAGCCAGGGGTCCCTGTGTGACATGTGTGACACTGGGGCCCTTGGCCAGCCCATGTCTCCAAGGGTGCTGCATGGCATGGTCTGGCTCCTGCTGGGGCAGAAGCCCTGCACCTCCCAGAGCATGCACAGCCACTGCTCCTCCCCAGGGCTGGGGTGCAGGGGGGCTGTGGGCTCCTGCCAAGTGCTCAGCCCTGTGTCAGTGGGACCCCCGCCCCGAGAGAGCCCCAGGACGAGCTCTCCAGCTGCTGAGATGTTGCCCAAGACAGGGGCTGGGAACCCTTAACTGGACTGGAGAGTGGGATGATTTTTCATTGCTTCCTCATAATAAGAGGACAGGAGTAAGTGACTAGTACAGTCCGTTCACTCGGTAAAGATTTATACAATCACTTCATCCGGTAATTGGTATTCTGGGGAGAGAGAGCGAGCTGCAGCTCCAGCATCCGCCTCTATTTGTTTTATCTCTGTCTTTCCCTTTTTCTCTCTCCTTTTCAGAATGAGTAATTCTGTCCCTCACAATCCCATTTAAATAGAGCATTTGCAGAGTGAATAATTAGTTACATTCAATTAGGCCTCACGCGCTCTCCCTGCTCACTTTGGGGGACAGACGTGCTAATGAGATGGTGCATGTGTGACACGCAGCAGTGGGCACTGAGCATGCTGCATGCCAGCAGGGAAGGGGCAGCCTTGGGGGAGCTGGGGAGGTGGCCCCAGACTGTTCAGCCTGCCACCTGGGCAGACAGTCCTTTGGAAACCATCTGGGGCCACAGGCTTCACGTTTGGGGCCAAAGACTTTGCATCTGTGGCCCACAAAGCACCTTCTCCTCCAGCAGGAGCGGGATCACATCTGTCCCCAGAACTGGGTGTTCTCTGGGCTGGTGCCAAGGGAATGCTGCCCAGCCTGAGACCATCCCACTAGCACTGCTGGGATTGCCAAGCCCTGAGAGGAGGGAAAGCTGCTGCCATGTTTTTATCTCCCTTATTAAACCTAACATTAGGTTTTAAGAGGAGCCTTAAATAATGTGCCACTGCCTGTACTGGCAAAGTTGCTCCATGCTCCAGCTGCTCCTGCTCAGGGATTTATGGCCTTTCTTGTGCTGTGCTGCCTGTGTTCAGGTGGTGGGTCACAGGCTGAGGCTGCTCCCAGCACCCAAAGCCTGCAGTGGGCTCAGTGCTGCTGCAGCCCCACACCAGTGGGCCTTGGAGCTCGGGGTGACTCCCCTGCTACACCACAGCACCCCACAGTGCTGCCCTGCAATGCTATGGACCCCATTTGTGCATTTTACCGCCAGAGCAGTGAGGAGAGGGGCACAGCTCTGCTCACATCCCTGTTCTCCTCTGCCCGTGGGACACGGGCTGGGCATGGCTGTGCTGGGGCAGCTCCTGCTGTGGGGTCAGGGAGGGCAGCCACAGGGGAGTGGGGCCAGCCAGGTGTGCTGGGGAGGGTCTGGGGGCACGGTGGGGGTCAGCACAGCTGGCGACAGCCCTTCCCTCCCTCCTCTACCTTGGGAGCACCCGCCCATTCCAAAGCATCCTTTCCCGGAGCATCAGAGCCAGGAGAGCCGGTCCCGGGGGCGCGGGGGGCGACAGGTGCTCGGGGCTGCTCACGCACAGGGACAGAAAATCACCTTTAATCACACGGTGTCGCCAGCACTGGGTGGAGGTGACGGAGCACGGACGGGCGGGTGTGCGGGGGAGCCGCGGGAGGGGCCCCGACGCCAGAGCCCCCGAGGCCAGAGACCCCCGTGCCCAGAGCCCCTCGAGACCAGAGACCCCCGAGACCAGAACCCCCCGCGCCCAGAGCCCCCCGAGGCCAGAACCCCCCGTGCCCGGAGTCTCCCGTGCCTGACCGGGCTGTACGCCGGACGGGCGGTGCCGGTGCCGCCCGGCGCAGCCCGCTCCGGTCCCGCAGCACCATCTCCCGGCCGCCGCACGCCGCTGTCTGCGCTCCGGCCCCGCCGCCGCCGCGATCCCCGGCACCAGGCAGAGCCGTGGGCCCGCCGGTCCGGCCTTTCTTGGTGTCACGGAGCCCGGCAGCGCCGGGCACACAGGGGCCGCGGTGCCCTGTCCGGATGGCAGCACTCACCGGGCACTGCTCCAGAACGGGCAGCGCTTCCACAGCACCCCAGACAGCGGACTGAGCTCTGCCGTGGTGATCTCACAGCTCCCTTTCCCAGCCCTGGCTTTTCCAGCACTCAGGGAGACGGGGCTCTGTGCTGGGGTCTTCCTGTCAACATGGTCACTGTGCTGTGGCCAGGGCTGCACTGGGCTCTGCAAGGGCTCAGCAGGTGAGCAGCCACCCAGGTTATTGCATCACCTGGGCAGCAAGCAGGATGGGGCTCTGTTCCATGCCCCCATAGGGGCAGCCAACCCTTGCTCCACCAGAGCAGCCCTGTGCAGGTGACCAGAGCAGGAGTTGTAGTGGTATTCTCGTGGGGTGGTCGTGCCATGGTCCATTGCAGCATCCCATCATTTGCAGCCAGGCCAGATGCCAGATTTCCTCCCCAGCTGGAGGGGGGACAGAGGAGACGGTGCTGTCCAGTCTGTGCTCCTGTCGGGGGCAGTGCCCTGCGCCTTCACAGCATCTCCTGCTCCGAGATGCGGCTCTCCTTGCCATCCTCCTGGGCCACAGGCTGGCCCCTGAGTAGGGTCTCCTGCACAGGCAAGACATTCTCATCCTGCTCCGTGGGCTGCTGGGGATGTGGGCTCTCTCCGGGCTCCCCAGCCTCTATCTGCACAGGGGCAGGGGTCAGGGGCAGGCAGCTACATTCCCCCACTGCACCCACATCCTTCCTGCTACACTCCCATGCAGCCCAGACTATGGGTCCCTCCCAAATGCTCAGCACTCGCCAGTAGCACCCTCAGGTTGCCCCAGCCCTTGTCCTGCCCCAGCCAGGCAGCCTAGTTCAGCCTCCACCCCTCCTGCATTGCAAAGCCACAGCCCCTGCTCTGCTGCTGGCACATCCCCAGCTGTGCCCACGAGGGATCCCAACCCACTGCTGCAGGGGGCTCTAGGCAGACTCACCTCCTTTGGCCCTCGTCGCCTGGAATCTGGATGGAAAGAGGGACAGAGAAGGCAATGTTCAGGGGGAAGGGCTGCCCTGCAAGGAGCTTCCCAGGGGCAGAGCCAGGGCTGGAGCTGCTGCACCACAGGTCCTGCAGCTCATGTTGTGCCTGCTGCCACTGCCAGGCTGGGCAGGCTGGGGGTCACAGCAGGAGCCACAATGGAGTCATGGGGCACCAGTGCTGTTCCCCAAGGGCTGGGGGAGCACTGGTGCCCCAAGAGCCCAGCTCAGGCTGCAGCAGTGCCAGCACACCGGCTCCCAAAGACAGAGCAGGACTCAGCAAACCCTGTCCTGATGATGTCCCCAGAGGAGTTTCCCCACTCTCAGCAGAGCTGCTGCTGCCCTCCCTGGCTCAACCCCTCAGCCCTTTATGGCCCCTTGGGCCAAGGTTGTCCCTCCCTGGGCCAAGGCAGCAGTTCACAGGCTTTAGCCCCTCACCTGTGTGCACCAGGCAGTAGATGCAGACACCCACGAGGCACGTGACAACTGCAGCTGTGATGGGGATCAGCACTGACAGGGAGGAGCGCCTGCTGGACTCTGCAGGAGGACACAGGGTCAGTGAGACACCCACGGGACACCCAGTGTGACACAGAGTCACACCCCAGCCCCACAAGGGATCCCTCAGGGAGACAGAGGCAGGAAGGCATCACACTGGCCACTCAGACCTTCCTCTCCCAAAACCACCACATATGACCCAGGTCTGCTCAGTGCTGCAGGAGCCCTGGGTACTCTCTGCTGAGTGCTGCAGGAGCCCTGGGTGCTCTCTGCCTGGCACTGGATGGGCCCTGGACACCAGGCACTCACCGCAGATCACATCCGACGAGTTCGTCCCTTTCACCTTCACCACCAGCCCCTTCTCCTCACAACTGCAGGGGAGAACAAGACCAGGTCACCACACAGTAACCTGAGCTCAGGGAATAGTTTGGGCTGGGCAGGCACCTGAGCTGCCCCAAAACACATCCTGCTCTGAGCCTGCCAAGCTCCAGTAGGGCAAGCAGAGGGACCCCCACCAACACAGCGTGAGTGGGACAGCAGCTACACAGCAGGGTACCACCCCTGGGGCTTGGCCTGGAGTTGCTGAAACTGCTGAGGATGGCAGCAAGTTTAGGGACAAGGCAGAGGAAGGAGCAGACCTGCCCAGATAGGGAAGCCCCCAGGGCTTCAGCACTGTAGCCATGACAGAAAAGCTAATATAGGCTACAAGTGGCTCTGTGGGGAAGTAATTTCTGGGCACAGATAAAAGCAAAGTGAAATCCAATGGCTGGCAGCTGAAGCAAGACTAATTCAGCTTGGAAATAAGGCTCATGTTTCTACCAGGAACTGCAATTAACCCTCAAGCAGCTTTCTAAAGACAGGGATGACCTGCCAGTTCATGGCATGCTAAAAGCCAAACTCCCCATGGAGAGGACTTGTGCTTTGTCTGATGACTGCAGCCACAGAGAGCACTGGGAGGGAGAACCTGAACAGAGCATGGGGCATCCCCATAGATCCTGACCCCTTACTTCCAGCATGGATGACAGCATGGACACCCGTGAAGGGACAAGCAGTCTGTGAGGGACAGACACAAGTGCCTGAATGTCGACCTCAACCTCAGCCAATGCTGTCCCGTACCACACTGTGCTCCCAGTCCTGTTCCTCTATCCTGGCCCTACACCTGCCAGATGCTGTGTCCCTCAGAGACCAGCCTGGCTGCCCAGTCCCCAAGGCCACCAAGGAAAGTGGCAGCAGAGGATGTGCTCACTGGGGCTGGTGGAAGGATGTGGTGTGCACTCAGACAATACCTTGTCCAGGGGTGGCACGGCTCGGTTTTAGACGAGACATTGGAGAAGGTGCCTTCTGCACAGGGTTCACAGGGGGATGACATCCGCTCCATGGCCTTGGCTGGAGAGGGGCAGAGATGGCAGCAAGGTCAGCAGGGGCTGGGGGGGTGAGGGCCTAAGGGGCTGCAGAATCCAGATGTGCAGCATGCCCTGTGGCAATGGCACAGCTCTCCCAAAGCCCTGCCAGGGGCCACCACACTGGGGGAGCCCCCATTCCGTGAGGGCTGACAGGGCATCAGTCCTGTGGAGTGGGAACAGCTTGTCAGACTTACCTGCCACAAAGCCAGAGCCAAGCTGGCAAGGCTGGTTCTCCACGCAGGTCTGGCAGCTGATGTCAGAGCAGTGCGTGCCAGCCCGGCACTGGCACACCGTGTTGTGTGTTACATTTCCTTTTATCTTCTCAATGAGGCCAGCATCTGGGCAGAGGGAACATGGACAAGGTGAGACACCAAGCAGGGCAGCCAGTCCCCCCAGGTTGAGGTCAGTGGTGACAGGGAGCACTTACTGCTTTCACAGATGTCGTGAGGAGCACAGTGCTTCTCCTTGGTCCAGCTTGGCTGATAGTGCCCGCTCTCACAGGGGGCACAAACAGAGTCTTCTGTTTCCTTGCACTCAGACATCAGTTTTTCCCCTGCAATAGAGGCTGGTGAGGAAGGGGCAAGTGGGCTTTCCCTCTCTCCTGACAGCACCTCTGCCAGCAGGACAGGGGAAGGCTGGTAGCTGTGGATGCCAGGACTGCTGCACTATTCTGCATGGAAGCCAGGGCTGAAGGAGTCAGCTCGCCTGATGACCACAAACACTGCAGGGGGCAGGTGGGGAGGGAGGGCTGTGGGGCCACTCCTGGGACTGGGACATGACCTGACAGTGACAGCAGGAGCTGGCAAACACCCTCACAATTCGCTAGTGCCAGCACTCTCCCCACAAAGCTGCCTTTGCCATGGGGTCCTGTAAGCTGCAAGAGCACAGTGCCAAGAGAGCTGTGGCACATTTGGTGAAGTCCAAGGGGTCTCCAAGACCACCCACAAGGTCCCAGCTGCTCTATCACTGAGATGACACAGGGAGGTGAAGCTGTCAGCATTGCTGGCAGTGGGGTGGAGGGGCTCCATCACACCAAGCAAAGCTTGCCCTGCTGTGCCCAGCAGTAGGTCCTGGCACTGCCCAGTAGTGAGATCCCCAGGAAAGGGTTTCCATACCTGGCCGACACCGGTTGCAGCACCTGCCCTTGTATACATACTGCTTATCAAAGCATGTCAAGGCATCAGCAGGCTCCCAGCACTGGAAGAAACAAGACAACAAGACCTGTGAATTCATATCCAATGCTCCCGGATCACCACGCTTCCACAGACACATGTGCTGACCTGCACCCTGAGGTGAGGGCCTCCTCACACTGCTCTTCCCACACCTCCACTAACCACAGACCACAGCAGCCACCCACGCTGCCTGATGCCATCTGTGCTGCCTTTGAAGTGGGGTGGCAGTGATTCCGGCAGAGTTGCTCCACATTTCCCCACATTTCCTACCAGAGGGTGATTGCACATCACCCTGTGTCCCCGCCAGCAGTACTGCAGTCCCTGACAGAGGGAGCAGCGATCCCCAAGCTTTCACGCCCAGAGCACTGCCGGCCCCTTCCCAAGGCTGACACGCCGTCCCCGAGGGACAGGAAAGCCCCAGACAAGCGCATCACCCATGCACACTGCCAGAGCCTGCCCTTGCTCCCCCTGGCAGGGGACTACCTGCACAGGGAAGGGTAAAAGGAGGCAGGGCATGAGCTCTCGGGCAAGACGGGGTGCAAGAGGGCTCTTTAGCACCGTTCCTCTGACAGAGCCAGCCCCTCGCTGCCCATCCCCAGTAGCCCGGCAGCTCCCGGCGGATCTGCCTGGCCATGCTGGGGAGCGGGATGTGGGCTCCGGCAGAGAGCGAGGGACAGAGGGACAGAGGGACAGAGGGCCGGCCCGAGGGTGCCACGGACGAGCACGCAGCACGGCCGGGTGCAGCCCAGCCCCGTGCGCACTCCGAGCAGCCCCGGTGCGGGGACAGGAGGAGGCTGCGGGGCCCTCCCAGCCGCCCACAGGCAAGCGAGAAGTGAAAGCAGCGCCGGCAGCCGGTTCCAGCGCCCCACCCGACTGGGGGTCCCGGCCGAGGGTCCCAGGGCTCGCCGCTGCCCGTCCCTGCCCGTGGGGACCCCCGGGCCAGCGCAGGGAGGGGCAGCGCTGCCGGGCCCGCGCCATCAGGAGAAAGCGAAAGCGCGTGGGTAGAAGGGCTGGAAAGGATACCAGGCAGTCCAGGCAGCTCCTCCGCCCTGGCTGTGTCCCGGGAGAGCGGACGGACGGACCGACACGGCAGCGCCGCCGGGTCCCGCTCACCGCCCAGCCCCGGGGCTCCCCGAGGGGACGGGCCGGAGCGTCCGGAGCCCCTTCCTGGAAAGCCCGGCGGGACACGGGGATGGAGGGATCCCCTCCGCCTGTGCCCCTGTCCCGCTCCTCGCCCCGCTCCCGGCCCCACTCACGCCCAGCAGCGCCGCGCAGAGCAGTCCCCAGAGCCCCAGCCGGTTCATGGCGCTGGCCCCGGCCGCCGCCGCCGCCCCGCTAAGAATGCCTCGGTCCGTTCCCGCCCAGGAAGGGGCGTTGGGCCGCCTTGGCCGGGGCTTCCCCGCCGGCCCCGGCCGGGGACAGCTCCCCGCCGGCCCCCCGGAGCCCCCGGTGCCCGCCCGGGAACCCCCGCCCGGAGCCACGGCCGCAGGCAGGAGCAGGGACAGGGGCAGGGGCAGGGGTCGGGCGGGGTCCGCAGGAAGGGAAAGGGAGGGGAGCGCCTGTGCAGCCCCCCCGCAGCAGGAGCTACAGGTTTCACTTCTTTCCAACAGCTGCTCAGAGAGGTTTTTTGGGTTTTTTTCTTATTTCGCCTTTAAGAGCCCCTGAGCTGTGGCCCTGGAGGGCCCCCACGGCTGTGGTCAGGGAGAGCCCCTCTGGCCGCAGCCCTGGAGAGCCCCCAGAGCCGCCAAGAGTGTCCCCGAAACGCGTCAGTCCTGAAAGGGGAAGGGCCAACAGCGCTGTGCCGTGGCTGTGCCTTCGTTTCAGTTCCCCACAGCGGTTCCCAGTAACCCCCAAGGAATTTCCAGGTTCCCTGCCCGCTCCGGAGGCGTTCCCTGCGCTTCCCTTGGCATTGCGGCGGCTCGGCAGCGAACGGTGGCTCCCCAGCGCCCCTCGGTGCCCCGGTCACCTCGGTGCCCCGGTCACTTATGGCCACAGTGCCCACACTGCCGTGATGCCGGAGGGGAACACAGCACAGCACCGCCTGCCCGGTCGCGGTCACGGCCCCAGCCGGAGCCTGGTGGCCACAATGGGCCATGGCCGGGTCACAGCTGCTCCCAGGGAGAAGGGCAGCGAGAATTGGGAACCGAGCGCTCTGGATTCCCCGGGCCAATGTCAGTTCCCAGAACTGACTCACTCGGGAGCACGAAGGCTCCCTGGGGAATCTCGAGGGCAAAGGGGGCGGCCGCGGAGAGAAGGGGATTTCTGGGCCCGACTCCCCTGAGCCTGGCCTGGGAAATCCCCGCGGCTCGGCCCTGCCTGAGCAGGGTCTCCTGTGGCCGCGGGCTGTGAGAGCCCCTCGCTCCCGGTCCTGGGCCGAGGGCCGGTGCTCGGGTGCTGCTCAGGCGGGAGCCCCTACGAGAGCCCCCGGTCCTGCTACACGCACAGCGGGGCAGAGTCCCGGGGCAGCTGCTGCTCGGGGCAAGGCCGGGGCTGTGGGCACAGCTCGGGAACGCCACCCCTTGAACGGGGCAGGGACACTCCGGTCCCGGCCCAGGTCTCAGTCTGATCCCGATCGCGGCCCCAGTCTCAGAACTTGTCCTGGTCTGATCCCCACCCCAGTTCCGATCCTGACACTGGTCCTGGTGCCGTTTCAAAGCCCCATCTGGTCCCTCTCTGACCCTGACAACTCCTGTCTCAACAGCAGTCTGACCCCGATCCCGGTCCCTGTCCCAGTCTGATCCTGATCCCGGTCCTTGTCACTGTCTGACGCCGATCCCCGTCCCTGTCCCAGTCTGACTCTGATCCCAGTCCTTGTCCCAATCTGATTCTGATCCCGATGCCGGTCCCTGTCACAGTCTGACCCTGATCCCGCTCTTTGTCCCAGTCTGACCCTGATCCCCTGTCCCAGTCTGATCCCAATCCCTGTCCCTGTCTAATCCCGATCCCTGTCCCAGTCTGATCTCTGTCCCTGTCCCAGTCTAATCCCGATCCCGGTCTCTGTCCCAGCCTAATCCCGATCCCATCCCTGTCCCTGTCTAATCCCGATCACGGTCTCTGTCCCAGTCTGATCCCGATCCCCTGTCCCAGTCTGATCCCAATCCCTGTCCCTGTCTAATCCCGATCCCTGTCCCAGTCTGATCTCTGTCCCTGTCCCAGTCTAATCCCGATCCCGGTCTCTGTCCCAGCCTAATCCCGATCCTTTCCCTATCCCTATCCCTGTCTAATCCCGATCCCGATCACGGTCTCTGTCCCAGTCTGATTCTGATCCCGATTCCGCCTCCGCCGCCGCCCCCGCGCGAGGTCCGATAGCGCCACCCAGCGGCCGCCCCGTCTGGCCTCCTCGGCACTACAACTCCCGGCCTGCCTTGCGGCGCCGCACCGCGGGATACGCCGGGAGCCGGGGCAAGTGCCCTGTGCCTCGGCAGGCATGGCGGTACCCTGCCGCGCCGTAAAGTGCGCTACGTCGCCATAGCGACCGTGCTTCCCCCTCCTCCTCTTTGCGACGGCGCCGTGCGGTAGTGGCGGGTGGCGCCTTTGTCCTGGCGGCGGCGGCCTGACGGGGCACCGGGTCCGGGCCGGGAGCGGCGGTGAGTCTGCGGGTCCGCGGCCGCGGTACGCGGAGAGCCTGAGCGACAGGCTTACGGCAGCGAGCCCCGCAGAGAGCCCGCTCGCTCTCGGCTGAGGCCGGGCCGGGCGTGCCTCGCGGCCTGCGGGCGGGCCGCGCCTCCGCCTCGCGTCCGGGCAGCGCGGGATCGCCGGGATTCGATGGGGCTGCTCCGCACCTCCGGAGAGCCGGCGCGCGGGTTGAGCGGCGCTGGCAGCGCCCAGGCCCGGACGGAGGGAGGGGAAGCACGGGAGGGAGCGGCGGCCGCCGGTGAAGCTCCCGGCCGGGGGTCCCTCCCCGCTGGCCCGGGAGCTGCGGCGGGCCCGCGCTGAGCGGGGCAGGGGCGGGGCGGCGGGAGGAGGGCGGGGGCGCTCCCCGGGTACCGTGAGGGCGGCGCCGCCGCGTGTGCCCAGGTGCGGGGGGCCGGGACGGGCGGTGCCCCCGAGGGCCCTTTGGGGAGCGCGGGGCTGCCCCGAGGGGAGTTCCCGCTCCTCGGCACCTCTGCCCCCCGCGCCCGCTGTTTCTGCTTTGGCCCCGAACTTCACGGGGACTCGTGTCGTGTTTCGCTTGCGGCAAATGAGTTGCAATATCCCGCTCCAGCAGTCTCGCTTCCTTGAAGCTGTAGCGTTATTAATAAACAACTCTGCTTTTAAATATAAGGTTTTTAGAGAGACGTGGCTTTAATTGATTTCCAGGATTTGTTGGCTCATGAGGTGCCATGGGCTGTCCTGTTGTAGGACCCACAGTCACTGCGCGGGGAATTGGCACCTTTAAACTGTCCCGGTGCCTCTCTGGCTGATTTGGTACAAGATTTAATGTGGGAATTAGCTGTTCACCCGATGTAGCGTGCCCAGAGGTGGGACAACATTCATTTATTCTGGTCTTATGATCACTAAATGGCCCTTAATTATGTAATCTGCTGCGTGGAAAATGATAAGAGGCAGTGAATTACCTTAGATGAGAGTTCTGATTTACTGATTGTTTTGAAGTGGGGTAAATAGCTCTCTGTTTTTCTTAACGTGGAAAGTTCTTGCAGCCTCTTCCTCAGACACCCCCTGCTATCCCCAGCCCTAAGGAACACAAAAGGGAATTTCTTACAGCTTTTTATCGTGAAAGTGAGATCTGCCAGCAGCTACAGGCCTGTTTGACACGTGTTTGCTGTGTGTGCCTGTGCTCTGCATCCTGCTCTGAATGGGAATTTGGGCTTGTTGGTGCCTTCCATGTTTTATTGCCTCTTATTCATTTTGAGGGAATTTTGAGAGCTTCTCTACCCTCAGCTGATGAGAACTTGAGCTGCAGTACTGGAATAGAAGTCCAGTGCTTTTGTGTAAAAAAAAATGAGATTTGGTACTTCTCACGGGGAAGATAAAATTCTGTGTATGTGTGTGGACAAACTTGAGGGGGATTGGGCAAATATGATAGAGGAGATTAATTCTGTTGGATTTTGGTTTGGGTGTTGAGTTTTCTTTTCCTCACCCCAGTTCTGGCAGCTAATTTTAAAAAGTTGATTAGACAGGGAAGTGTTCTCTGCCCCCCATCTCTGTAGGGTTTCCTAAAAAGGGGCAGGAGTGACACAAATGTGAAGTTGATTGATCTTTAAAGGATAAATAAATAAATTTTATGTTTAAAATCTGGAGTAGATGTATTTTTCATGCCAGTTAAGTGTTGCAAAAGTATTCATATAGAGTCATCTTATCTATTTTGACATTTGATTTATTTATTTACTGATGTCTTTTAAATTGCATTTACTCCAGGGTACTGTTAGGGAGTATCTTGCTTGTAGGCATTGCATGATTAAAAAGAGAAGTTTCTGTTGATACACTTAATTTCATCATCTTTCTTTTTCGAAGCTTCTTGCATGTTACAAACAGAAAATCCCATCCTGCATTCCTGTAGATGAATGTTTAGGAAGTAGAACAACTTTATTAAATAATTTTCGAACTTCTAAGTTCACCTTGAAAGTTTCAGTGTTATTAATTTCTTTGAGCTTTATCTAATGGTGAATTTTAAACCAGAAAATCTGAATACTGGGGATGGTGTTTTTTGTTAGCCATGGCAGTGTTTGTTATGTTATTATTTTTTTTGCTGGGGTGGTTTTTATGATTTGTTTGGGTGAGTTTGTGCAGTGAATGTTGCTGACTGCTCCAGCTGTGTGCAGGGGTGTGGGCTAAGGGAATGTGCTTTTTCTGCATGGGGGAGGTGAGGAAGGTGCAGCATTTACCTGGGGGTGGTAAATTCCCAGCTCTGGACCCGCCTGCTGTGGGAGCTGACATCTCCATGGGGACAAGGCTGTGCTGTCTAACAGAGGTGCAGATAAGGACCTGTGCTTTCTGGGATTGGAAAGCTGAGATTTCACATGTAGTGAAGTGACCCAGATGTGGTCACTTAGGAGTATTTCAGCACTATTTCCTGATGCCTCATTCCAAACCCTACTGGAATATTTGGGTGCTGTTATGCAATGTTGCAATGAGTGTTTCATTTCAGCTTATTAAAATATTGCATAAATGTCAATATTTCTTATCAGTGGATTGAAGAACTAGATGTGACAACAATGGGCATGTTGAAAAGCTTAAAGTTAAGGAGTTTTAGTGGAAAATTAGTTTTATTTCTGTCTTAGTTTGGAGTCAAACCATTAAAACCTATCTGCAAAATAATTAGGTTTGCTACCTTTCAGTATTTCAGAAAAGCTCAACCAGACTGCTGCAGTGAGTGTTTTTGCCTGACCTCTGTGTCCCTCGTATTAAGATTTCT